TCTTTACACCTCCTAAGATTATCGATTTTAGCATCTTTACGCCTCCTGAGATCATCAATTTCAGTATCTCTACGCTGACGTACATGTCTTTCATCCTGTAAAGCCTGAGTTAACATGCGGACATTATGCAGTACCTCTACTTCTCATTGTTCTGCATTCCTAGTTTGCGCAGTTTGTTCTGCAAGCCGTCTACCTCGATTCTCCCAATATCGTTAGGTTGTTTCAACATATCTAATAGTATTAGTTAAGCTTGTAGTAATTTCGTAACTATATCATCTGGGAGATTAATATTTCTTTCATCCAAATGTAATTAAATTTCTACTATGCAACCTGAAATGTGTAACCGCTCATCTAAAATTGATTAGAATGCATTATCCATATTACCATTATTCTCTGTTCTTTCTCTATTGCTTGAAACTTTTCCCGGCTTCTTCCAGTTATTTCATGGATACGAGTTTTAAGCTTCTCGACCTTATCTTCTAACTCATATAAGCGCTCCTCCCCAGATAATATATGCTTCTCCTTTTCCCCTACATATTGCAAAGCTTCACGCAGGCGCTTCTTGAGAGACGTGATCTCTAACTTGAGGTCTTCTATCTCTTTCTTATAGGTTATGATAGTATTATCCTGAAATGAAATAGTTCGATAACATTCCTCAAGCTCCTTCACGAGGGAGTGAATTTTTTTCTCGTTACTTTTATTAATAAATATTTCATCTCAAAGTTCACTATGAAGCTCCTGGTTTGTATCTATAAGCTCTAAGTATGCTAGATCGCATGAAATGGTAAGTATTATATTTTTAACCCGATTTATAGAACATCATATAATCGTGACCTAAGAATGAGCCAACCGCAAATTTTGATAGACCCTGATGAGGCTCGTAGTATAGAACGGAATCTTATTTTACGAGAGATATATTATCGCCCAACTGGGTATTATTCTAATTCTAAATCCTTGAGAGATACATGTAAAAAAGAAGGCATCGTTTCTGCCTAAGTGAATGCCGTGATTTTTTAGAATGGCAACATATATACCAAATACATAAAACTCCTCTGAAAAATATTCCTAGATGTAGCTATAGCCGAATAACCCGCCCAAATTGCGTACACCAATGTGATTTGCTATTCCTTACACATGATCATTATAAGCGTAAAAAATATATAGCAGTGCTTAATATAATAGATTGCGCTTCCTGATATAAGGCTTCTATTCCACTTACATCGAAGAAGAGTTCAGAAGTTGCTAGAGCATTCAGAAAAAAATATGATGATCCTAATAATTCTCTTGTATGGCCAGAGCTTCTTTAATGTAACGGAGTCGTGAATTTATGGGAAAGACTTCTCAATTGATGAAAGAGTATAATATTACTATTCGAGTGATTAGTGCATATTTTCATCGAGGAGTAGCTTTGCAGAACGTTTTAATAAGACACTCACAAAAATACTCTATAAAACCTAAGATGCTGTTGAATCTATATATCCTAATTCAAAATTGATAAAAGTTTGGGTTAGGCATTTGTCTATAGTTATCGATTATTTAAATAATTATCCCACGCGTCTTATTCAAGAATCAGGATCAGAAAAGTGGGGACTCGAGCCAGTAAAAGCCATTACATTAGAACGAGTAGAATCTAGACCATCTACAAAATATAAGCGTCCAGTTGGAAAAGATGAAATAAGATTAAAGAAAGGATATACTGTCCACTATTTTCTTGCTAATGCAGAATGGGATGGTGAAATGGCAAATCAGAAGCGTGCAACTGACCCTACATTCAGTCCAAGTCTTTATAAAATTCAAAAAATGGTTGTTATAAAGAATGAACCAGCTTTGTATTATCTCGAAGGTGATGAATTTACACTAAAGCGAGGGTTTGTTAGAGAAGAACTCATGTTAATAGCTGATCCAGAAAAAGTTGGGTATCCGCCTCAAAGCATATTATCAGTGCATATTGCTTATGTCATTAATAGAAAGATAGATCAAGCTATTGATTATACCAGAAGACGTGGTGGTTAGTGTTTAGGAAGGACTGGTCAAATAAATGGTCATGATATGTATCTTTGGTCTTGTGAGAATGGTGCACATCAATGGGAGTATCTGTTAAAATATATCATGAAAAAATTCGAATGGTGTCCTCTATGCCATCATACTCAAGAGCGTAAATGCTGATATATTTTTGAGGATTTGTTAGGCAAGAAATTCCCACCATGTCAGGCTAAGTTCTTAGATGGGCTACACTTGGATGGATATAATGAGAAATTGCGTCTTGCATTCGAATTTCAGGGTTCTCAACACTATCACCACAATAGCTTTTACCGCTAGGAGAATGAAAATCTAAAATCACAAAATATGCGTGATCAGAAAAAGTGGGATATATGCAAGGACTAAAGTATATGCCTTATCGAAGTGCCTTATACTTCAGATTTATATCCATTCATTAGACATATACTAATCGAAAAAGGATTCTTGAATAAAGCAAAGCCTAACTCTTGAAAGTTTACGTGATTTTAGGCGAACCAAGTTCGCTAAAATTTGCAAGATTATTTTAGTATATCATTAGTAATAGTTCGACATGAAAATAAAAAAGCTTGAACTGGTTGATAGGCTCGTAACGGCATTTTGAAGAATAAGGCAATTATTAAAAATACATCTTGCTAATCGTAATGGCCAAATTATCTTTAGATGATACAATAGAAATAGCGAAGTCTTATCAAGGTATGTGTCTTTCTAAAGAATATATTAATAACCGTACTCTAATGCTCTGGGAATGTAATAAAAAACACCAATAGACAGCATCATTTGATTCTATCAAAAACCGCCATTTATGGTGTCCTTATTGTATAAATAAAAAGCTTAGCATTTTAGTAGCTCAAGAATTAGCATATGCTAAAAACGGGAAATGCATTTCAGAAAAATATATTAATAATAGTTCACCTCTCTTATGGGAATGTGAAAAAAAACATAAATTCCATCTCTCCCTTGCAAGTGTTAAAAATCAAGGAAATTGTTGCTGGGAATGTATGAAACTTGGGCTTAAATTTGTTCAAAATCTCGCAAATGAAAGGAATGGAACATGTCTTTCTAGTTCCTATCATAACAGACGTACTCCACTCTCTTGGGAATGCTCTAAAGGACATTCATGGCTTGCTCGAATTGATAGTATTCAAAGAGGAACTTGGTGCCCACACTGTGTACGTGAAAATGCAAGACTTGGTATCGAATATGCTAAAAAGCTAGCAAATAGTAAAAACGGAGAGTGTTTATCCAATGTATATACCAACCGTAAAACATATTTGCATTGGAAATGCTCCAAATCGCATGAATGGTATGCTTCTATTAATACTATTAAGAATAATAACTCTTGGTGTCCACATTGTGCTAATACAAAACTCGATATTTCAGTAGCTAAAGATATTGCATATAGTCAGGGTGGGGAATGTTTGTCAGATTCTTATATTGATTGCAATAGTCGGTTACTCTGGAGATGCAATAAAGACCATCAATGGTATGCTACCCTTTCTCATGTAAAAAATGACAATACATGGTGTCCATATTGCTCCAAATATAAACGTGAAAGATTGTGTCGAGAGATTGTAGCAAAGTATCTTGGACCGCCATCTAAGATACGTCAACCTGATTTTCTCAAAACCCCGAAGCATCCAAGTGGATTACACCTTGATATTTATTATCCACAGTATGGTTTAGCAATCGAAGTACAAGGAAAGCAACATAAGCATTACATTGAACATTTTCACCGAACTTTAGAAGGGTTCAATAATCTACTAGCTCGGGATCAACTCAAGAAAGAATTATGCGAAGAAAATTGCATTGTCTTAAGGTATGTCTGGTATTATGAAGACCCACATATAGTTATTCCAGAGTATCTTCGAGAACTGGGTCTAATAGAATGAATATGAGACTTTAAATACATGTATTTCATTAAAATCCTTATTTTTTAGTATAGTAATTTATAACTCAGCCCGATCAAAATGAGAAAAATGGAATATTTTATATACCATCTTAACGAGACTAAAAATTCAAAGAATATGAATCACCCTGCGAGTCCTGTGTTTCCTTTTCGTTTGTTAATTTGCGGTGGATCAGACAGTGGAAAAACCAATATGATTCTTAATCTTCTTCTTGGAAATAAAATCCAACGTTTGTTTAAGGAAAAGAAAGGGGAGCGGTATGTCAAAAATGATGATCTAGTCTTAATCGGAAAGCATATTCATGAGCCCAAATGGGTATTAGTGAAAAACTGTTACGAAATTTTTTCGAAGGGCCCAAAAACATATCGGGAGAACGTGGCATTTCGTGCATTAAAAGCAGATGCAATTCCAGACGTAACTAAATTTTCCCCAGATAGGAATACAGTTGTAGTCTTCGAAGATCTTTGTGCTGAATCAAGGAAAATTCAGGATCGGATTGTTCCATATTTTATTAGTGGCCGACATCAAGGTGTATCAAGTATATATGTGAGCCAGAAGTATACACAAACCCCTAAAATTATTCGTGAGAATATTTCACACTTAGCTTTATTTCGAGGTTCAGGAAGTCGCGAAGATATATGCAGAATTGTGCGTCAATATACGGATGATCCGAAAAAAGCATCCAAGATAATTGATAAACATTTGCGAGATCGGAATTTTGTGGTCTTCGATTTTACTAAAGCAACTGATGATCCTCTCGCAATTAGATTAGGTTGGGATACGCCCTTAAAATTGGATAAATAGGGTTCGTTTCTGCCCAATCGTATTTATGCTCGTGTTATATTATATTCCATATACAGGTACATAAAAAAATCGCGTGTTCGAAACACTAATCAAGAAAAATTTATTATGCACTTCTCAACTAGGTGTGGACGGATTTACTTTATTAATATTATACACATTTTACATTTTTTTCAAGGTTAAGATAAAACTATGTATTAAAAGATTACCTGCAAGGTGGGTTAAAATCATTATATATAGCATTTTTTCTATCTAATTCAAGTAAACATGTATTCATTTCGACTTCTTCTGCTTTTTGGGTCGATCTGGTGTTGATTGGTTCTGCTTTATTGTATGTACCCTTCGTTTGGTCAGCAACTTTTGCTTTTGTTCAACATATGATCTTTTCACTTCGATATTTTCTCTCATGAAGGACTGATCATAAACCGGCATTAGTAAAGGGTGGTGAATAAATGAATGAAACACTATTATACTCACAAAGAACTTAAGACATGATATGATTACTTCGGAAAAAACAGGGAAATCTTGCCAAGCTGTAGGGATCTTGAAAGTTCCGTATTCGCGAAGACAATATGATTTCTGATGTATTGTTAGCCAAAATAAAGATATTTCAGTGCGATGACCGAAAGCACCGAAACTTGCAAGGTTTTTGTGATCATATATTCCGTCTTTAAGGTGAAGGATTATTCTTTGGTTTAGCACATCTCTCATTGTTCTAATCAGCTTATAATCATGAATGTAAAGTTGCGTCATATCATCGAAGTCCGGGGGTCCTGTTTGTTCGTATAGAAATACTTCTTCACGACTTAACCAAAGACGCGCAAGCCCATCTGCACACTTCGCCTCTAAGACTTTATCAATGATTGGATTGATGTTTGCATTACGACGATCTTTGCTACTTTCTACTGGCACTTCAAGACTATAACAGTGTAATTTCGTAAACTTAATAAATGCAAGTAAATACTTCCCAAAGTGGATAATCAGAACTTACATTCTCCAATCAACGTTACATATGGCCTTTAGTGTATTCTTTAATATAGGACTAACGAACTGAGCATTATATTGATTTTCTCGTAAGTCTCCTGACTTCAATATGTTGTAAGGCGCTTCAAAGGCTTCAATACTAAAAAGAACTCAATGATTATAACGTTTCACTTACAAAGATAAAAGGACAATAAAATAAAACATACTATGGTGCAAGTATATGGTAGATTGCATCTGCCAAGTCTTTGTGAATTTTGTTTCCGTTGATTTTTTGGTTATGGAGTTCACGCCAATCGCTTATCCATTCTTCTAGACTAACCTTTGGCTTATTTTATTTTACCAACATCGGACAAAATAAGTAACAAATATAATCAAACTAAAAACATTTCACCTTTTCCATGATTATGACATACCTTGAAGAATTCTTGTATAAAACTTTCCCAATCTTTAGGTAGATTATGTTCGGGATATGTACTTAACACAAATTCGCTCCAAGATTCTTCTGAAATTTCATTCGTGAAGCGTGAAGTCGGTCGCATATCCATGATATCGCTGACATAGACTAAAAAATGAATAAGATTACTATTTCGATTCTATATTAACTATAAGAGCCGATTTTACTCACTCAAAGATGTCTTCGCATTGATCACGGTAATCTGTGAAAATTATCTCCAGGTCAATGTTGTTTACCATCAATGGAATTCTCTCTACCTTTCCAACCATCGATTTCGATGCCTCTCTCAAATCACTCCCTGAATCTGTCAATTCGAAAATATGTCAGCCTTATGGCGAACCTGTAGCACAAGCCATTCATTTGCAACGTACCACTAGCTATGGCAACTTCCCCTTGCGGTTCTTCACTCTTCTTGACTGCCGTTGTTGATTCTTCATGCTGTCGGTATAATGAAATCGTTAAAAATTAAACTCAAGAAACCCTCAAGAAATTCAAGGTACAATTTTATACCGGAGCTTCGTCATCTTCAGGTAATGGACCATCCTGCATTAATTGCGTCATTTTGTTTTGATAATCTAATATTTCAGAACTGGCATTTTTGAGGGTGGTGTGCACGTGACGTTGCTATTTGCGTGTACAAATTCAGAGAATTTAGAATAAAGGAATTATCTGGCATCACTTATATAGCAAACAATTTCAGCGTGATAGAAAACAATCCTGCTTACGAGCGTTCGATTTTGTTGCATTTTCGAATGAATAATGGACAAATCTGTTCTGCGTAATTTTCTTTATTTTTGCCTACGACTACAGAGAGTACGTAGATTAATATAATATAAATCACTTCACTTAATAACGATAACTCTTACATTTTTGATTTCCTTCACTCAAGTATTAAAGGTAACAATAGAAATAAATAGGAATAAATAGAATAAATAGGTTAGTCATACTATATCATGATCAGAATATGTAATGAAATTTCACACAAATTAGGAACGTAAAGCTTCTTCATGATTTAGGAACGTAAACAGAAAGAGAAAACTTCCGGGTTTTCAATTCAACACCAAATAATTGGTGGAAGCGGAACCCCTAAGCATGTTCGCGTGTGAGCAAAGCGAAACTTCGACACTGATTTAGGAACGCGCTCATAAAGGCGACTTCCAGGTTTTCAATTCGACACCCGAGTAACCGGGAGGAAGCAGAACCCCTAAGCAGTGCTATGTTGTCAGATCTAAAGAAAATCAATGAAAAACTTTACTTACATGTTAAAAGCGAGATTTTATTCCAAAGGATTACAACACAAATCTTTTTATATTTCGTGGCATGTGATTAAAAATCAGGAGCGGACTGCGCCGATGAAGCACGTGCTGGGCGATCGTTTTGTATAAGTAAAATATTTTGGAACATCTAACCAGAAAATCGTGTTTTAAGAGCCAACCAAATAATAAACCACCTAACTTATTATTACTTTGCAGATTATTGATTGTTGATATCAATGATATAAATAATGGTTCTAAATCTAATTAACTACCTCTCAATGCAATCAGATCATTAAGGACCCAAAGTGATATTGTGAAAATATTTCATTCCGAGCTTTGAAGTCTGATAAAATTCCTAAGGTTGATTCATTTTCTCCGGACAGGGCTACAGTAGTTATATTTGAAGATCTATGCGCCGATCCAAAGAAAGTGCAAGAGAAAATTATTCCTTATTTCGTCGAAGGGCGCCATTACAATATCAGTTCGATATATGTATCGCAGAGTTACTTTGACTGTCCAAAGATAATACGAAAAAATCTCAC